TGCTTGGGGTGGTTTACCAATAAGGCAAATGGGGTGATGGGGTGCTTCTTCTAGGTTCTTCCTCCTTCTACATCTGATGGAACACAGCACCTCAGTGGGCCATCCTGGCCATACCCATCTTCTACTGGCCAGAGCCTTCCTAAAGCCATGGTGCACTGGAAACATCTTGCTCCTCTTTGAAATTCCCACAGAAGGGGCACCAAAGCAGGATAACATAACAGGTCACTGCTTTATCTAAGTTTTTGTGATCTTCTTCAATTTTTTTGGTGGTACCAGGGATCAAACTCAGGACCTTGCGTTTGCCAGGCAAGCAAGCACTTACTCCACTGAGCTATCTCCCCAGCCCCCTTTTTCAGTTCTTATTTGCTGCCTTTGACCTTCTCAAGATGGAGAGTGGATGGAGGCTAGAGAGGTAGTCAAGTTTCTTGGTCGAGTCCTTGTCCACAACTATCAGAGTTTCTCCTCCCTTGGAATGACAGTGTTCATATGAAACCATGCTTCTTGGCCTAACCACATGTTATCCATGAGGGGTGCTTTTCTGTGTGGGGTTACAGTTCTCCAACCAAATGCCCCCTCATACAGGTTCACTGCACAAGCTCAAGAGCCCCTTTATGTGCTGGCTGGCCACCAGCAAGACCACAGTGGGCTGCATGTGCATGATGTTTGTTGAATTACTTTGCAGTCTCCAAATTGTAGAAATGAAGTCAGGAATCTAAGTGTACTTTCTACCCCACCCCCATTTTCACTTCATTTTTATTAGATTTTCTGTCTTTTATGTAGGTATATTGCCTCAAATCCTCTTTGGAAAAAAACAGGATAAAAACAAGCACATGCAAATGTGTTAAAAAAAATAACCATATATATGGCCACCAGTATCATCCATGACACACCTCATTGGGGTGGAATCCGTCCACAGGCTCGATGAGCTGCCAGGGCTGCCCGCCTCTTTTCTGCCACTCCTCTGTGACTGTGGGACACACAGAAGGGGGGTGTTACACATGCATACACATGCACAGCCACTGCCAATCCCCAGGCAAGGACCATGGGAGGTGTCACTGGTGTTGCCCTTGCCCCCAAGGCCCCTGGAACCAATCTGACCACCTCTAAGCTGTTGTCTAGGGCTAGGATTTTTCTAGATAGAAATTACCTTCCTGGGCTGGGGAAATAGCTCAGTGGTCTAAGTGCTTGCCTGGCAAGCACAAGGACCCGGGTTCAATCTGTGGTACCACATGCCGTGCCAGCCCTGGAATCCTACCAGCCAGTGAGACTGGGTGTGGTGGCACATGCCTATAATCCTAGCACTGGGGAGACTGAGACAGGAGGATCACTATGAGTCTGAACTGCATAGTAAGACCCTGTACCAAATAAAGAAAGAAAGAAAGAAAAAAAAGAGAGAAAGAAAGAAAGAAAAAAAATCACCTTATCCCAGTGTGATATTTCCCATTTTCTTTTTTGTTTGTTTTGAGACAAGGTTTAACTATGTAGCTCAGGCTGGCCTTGAACTCGTGGTGCTCCTGCCTCAGCCTCTCAAGTGCTGAGCTTACAGGTGTGTGCCACCGCTGCAACTGTTTTCCTTTTCTGGCTCAGGAAGAGAATGCATCACGGCACTGGGTGTGTGTGGTTTGTATAGCAGGAAGCAGAGAGGCAACGTGGAGCCCTACCGGTGATTTCAATTCCTCTCACTTCTCCATGGCCTGAGAACACAGCGTTGCAGGCAATAAAATCTGAGCATTTTCTTAACGTCCTTCCTGGACTGCCGCATGCAGACACTGCCGGTCTGCGCCAGAGGATCACCTTGAGCCACTGGGTAGCAGGATTTCTTTCAACATTGCATTTAGAGAGAGCACGGCTGCAGGGGAAATGTTATGAACCCCAAAGGGACACAAGGCAATAGAAAGGGCCTTCCCCAGGGATCGCATGTGCCAGTCACACCAAGGCAGTGATGGGATGAACCTCATGGTGCGGGGTCAATGCCAGCGAGGACTCCTCATGGAAAGGCCACAGCCAGAGGGCGGCCTTGAGAGAGCATTCAGAGCGCTCTGCTCCTTGCCTGGCTGCTGTTCTGCTTTCCTGGTGCTCAGAGAGCACAGCAAGCACAGTCAAGAGGCTACCAGCCCTTTCCAGGCCCTATGAAAGGCAGAGGCTGGTGCTCTGCTCTCCTCCCTATCTTTTTTTTTAAAAAAATATTTATTTATTTATTTATTTTTGTCCTGTCAGAGGTGAATACTCTATTGGCATCTAAATACTATAAGTATTTGAATTCAACTAAACATCTATTACTGTCTAGCAGTCTATAATATTAGTGGGTTATCCTCAAAAGTTATTGACTCGAGCCTTTTACAGCTCATCGTATTAATATGGATTTACTTTACATACCTCATTTTTATACTTTTCTACTGGATGGTTAAGACCAAGATATAGCAAGACCTATTTACCCAGAAATGTAACTTTTGTATCTGATAAGGTCAGCCAAGTACTCTCAGGATTTATCCTGTAGCCCTGTACCGCCCTTTGTACATCCTTTTGTCAGTGTCTGACCTGAGGATGAGTCATGGCCATTGCTTGACCAATTTGCTCTCTGTGAAAGCTTGAGAAAATGTTTTTTCTCTCCATGTGATTCTCCCCAGGCTCACTTTAAATCCTCGAACACATTTCTCTGTGGCTCCATAATCTTCTTGATCAGAAAGTTTGGAGCACAACTGAGTTACATTTTGTTACAGTACAGGTTCTTCTATGTCCCGAGTCTTTACTGACCTTGAAAGGCTAGGGCCAGAATGTTGGCTAACCATGCAGCCCTTCTTTTTCTCCAAATTTTGATCTGCTAACTTAGGTTGTTAACCCTCCAGAAGAGAAGCTAATTATTAATCTGCAATATATGCAGTATGGTTTATCCTATCTGTAGAAATATCAAACATTTTGGCATATCCTGGAACAGGTATTTTCCATCAGATATTGATATGTTGAACTTTAAATCCTTTCAGAATATGAAGGAAAAATAATTATATAAAAGTAGAAATAAGCATTTACATATTTTTACAAAGAAATTTAGAAACCTAGTCATATATGGAATTGTAAGTCCTTATATTAGGGAGATAATATGATATTTACAGATGTGGGTCTGGTTTATTTCACTAATAAGTATATCTTCAAGGGGCATCCACTTAAATATGAAGGCTTCAAATTTATCATTCTTTATAGCTGAGTAGTACTCCATTATATAAAAGTACCACATCTTTTTCAACCATTCCACATGTGACAGGCATTTTGGTTGTTTCCAAGTTCTGGCTATTACAAATTGTGCTGCTATAAACATAGGCCCACATATATCACTATGATATGATGCTTTCAGTTCCTCTGGGATCTCCTCCCCATCTTGTCCAGGGAGGATGGAGATGCTATGGGGGCTTTGACTGTGCAAGGGAAGCCTGACTTCTGTGACTTCTCAGGGGCCCAAAAGATGGGGGGAGAGGAAGGGGAAGTAAAAGGAATTAAGGGGTGTTAACACACATGCAGCAGCCTCGAGGAAGACTGTAATCATTATGTACTTCAAAACATGCACTAATAACAAAGAAACAACTGAAGAAAAACAAAGGACCCCAGAGAGCTTGCCTAGCTCTTTCTGCTGCACAGGAAGATATGAAGTTGGCAGTCTGCCTCTTTGAAGAGGACCCTGCCCACAGTCAAACATGCAGGCATCCTGATCCTAGACTTCCAAACTCCAGGCTGGTAAGAAGTCAAACTCTTGCTGTTTCAAGGCCACTTAGCTTATAGTGTTTAATTATAGAAAGCAGCACTGCCTAAGATAGATGTGGAGGAAATCTCAAGTGATGCTGATGGGACCAGGTGAGTGGACAGAGAGCCCCATCCAGACCTTAGACAGAGCCTGCTGGGAGGGGCAGGGTTGGGTGGAGAAGGCACAGGCGAGGCGACCTGTGCTCATGGCACACAGCAAGCTGCAGCCCACCCGGATGCCCTGGTGTCCCCTGGTCCTGTGGGGAGGAAGCCCTACACAGACTTCGTGACTTTGCATTTCTAGAGAAGGTTGAAGGATAAGGTCATTCAATATCTGTGGCTCCCATGGTCAAGATCAATCCAGAAAAGGATTACAGTCTCTAGCAGATTGTGAGGCCCCAGAGGAGAAAGCAGATTTGAGCCTGTTAAGGAACCACCAGGAAGCCAGGATTGTGTTCTGTGGAGGATTGTGTATCAAGAGCTCTGTGTTAGAAAGGCCACATTCGCTTCTGCAGGAGTTTCCTTGCATGCATATCAATTTTGGCATCTGGGCTTGAAGTGATTCTAGGCTATTTTCGTTTTGATATGAATTCTATGTGTTACCAGCTGCAAAGTGGAAACTCGGCCCTTAGAGATGATGACAGAGATCCTTGTAGGGAAAACAAATGTGATTCTATGTGCTCTCTCCTAATCAGGATTAGTGAGTCCTTCCAAAAAGAGAAGGCACGGTCATTCCTTCCTAGCTCCCTCTGGAGGCGTGGCCAGTCCCATAATGGTGGAGCGTTATGTAAAGAAGACAGAAGAACCAAACAAAGAAAAGGGAGGGGATATGCCCTTAACACTTATTTTTATTGTTATTGTCATTATTTTTGAAGTGCTGAGCATGCAATGCAGGATCTTGGTATTGAGCTACATCTCCAGACTTTTAGTTTTTTTATTTTTGAGATGATGACTTACTAAGTTGCTGGGGCTTGACCCAAGCATTGTTCCTCCTGACTCAGCCTCCTAGAGTGCTACAGTTTACAGGCCTGCACCACCGATACTGGCTCATCTGCCAAATTTTGCCTGGAGCAGGGATATAAGCTAGGATGGGAGCCAGTAGAGAGGGCTACTTTTTATTATCACCAGACTCTGGCAATTAAAAATGCTATCAATGGGGGCCTGGCCCTTGTTCAGTTCTTTAAGTGGCTGCTTCCACAAAGCTGTCAGCCTCAGGTTGCTGTAGTTCGATCCCCACAACACTCCAGCCAGCCAAACCTGCCCTGAAG